CGCTCACGCAGTGTGGCCGAGACGTTTGGGTTGGTCGACGGCGGAGTTGCTTTCCTGTCGCACTGCGGATCGCGCGGGATAGGCCATCAGCTGGCCACGGGGCAATTCAAGTCGCTGCAGGGGAAATTCGATCAGTGGGACATTCCGTTGCCCGGCGAAGACCGGGAGTTGGTCTACGCTCCGCTCGGCACTCCTGAAGCCAACGCATATCTGGATGACATGGCCCTGGGCGCGAACTTCGCCACAGTGAACCACCTATTGATTAATGCCCTGGTACTTGAAGCGTTTCAGGAGGTGATTCCAGGGACAACGGGGCAACTGGTCTACTTCATCAGTCACAATATCGCTCGCAAGGAGATTATCGACGACCGGCCCGCGTGGGTTCATCGCAAAGGAGCAACCCGCGCGTACCCAGGGGGGCATCACGCACTGAAAGGCACGCCTTTTGCCGATGTGGGGCATCCGATCTTGCTGCCGGGTAACCCTCAGGCCGGTTCGGCGGTGATGATTGCGGACCCCGGTGCGAAGCTGAGTTGCTACAGCGTCAATCATGGCGCTGGCCGTCAGTTGGGCCGCAAAGCAGCGAAGCGGGCCCTGGATCAGCGGCAGGTTGACCAATCGTTCGACGAGGCCGACATCCTGGTAAACTGCCGGCGATATCCTATCGACGAAGCACCAGCGGCATATAAGGACTTTGATGAAGTCCTGCACTCGGTCAATTCGGCGGGATTGGCGAGTGAAGTGGCTCGACTCAAGGCGCGTTTTGTCATTAAAGACGGCGACAAGGCCGACGACTGATCTGCTTCGACAGATTCATAGGAGACTTCAAAATCAAGGATTGGATTGAGATCGACGGAGCCCAGGGTGAGGGCGGAGGTCAGATCCTCCGCTCTTCGCTGACGCTATCGCTGATTACCGGTACCCCGGTGCGACTGAGGAACATCCGCGCAGGGCGAGACAAGCCGGGGCTGATGCGTCAGCATCTCACCGCAGTGCGGGCCGCGGCGGAAGTTGGAGACGCGGACCTGGATGGAGCCCAAGTCGGCTCACAGCTACTCGCGTTCGCACCGAAGGTGATCAACCCGGGCAGCTATACCTTCTCGGTGGGTACGGCCGGCAGCGGTACGCTTGTGCTTCAAACCGTATTACCGGCGTTGATGCTTGCAGAGAAGCCCTCTGAGATCGTGGTTGAAGGAGGAACTCACAACCAATGGGCGCCACCTTACGATTTCTTGGCACAAGCTTACTTCCCACTTCTGCGGAAGATGGGGGTGAAGGTAACGTCTGGACTGGAGCGGCACGGGTTCTATCCCGCAGGGGGAGGTCGATTCAGCGTCGGCATCGAGCCACCGGCCGGCGCACTGAGCGCACTGCGATTGACCTCGCGGGGGGAGGTGCTACACCGCAGCTTCACCGCGATTGTGGCGAACCTGCCACGTTCGATTGCTCAACGCGAAATCGACACGGCCGCAGCAAAGCTTGGCTGGTCGCCCGACTGCTTCCATGTGTACGAAGCGCAGGACTCGCATGGCCCGGGCAATATCGCGATGGCTGAACTGCACTGCGAGGAAGTGAAGGAAGTTTTCACCGGCTTCGGACGACAAGGCACCAGGGCCGAACAAGTCGCCAATGAAGTGGTAACCCAAGTGAGGGCTTACTTGGCGTCGAGTGTGCCGGTCGGCAGATATCTGGCCGATCAACTTCTGCTTCCGCTGGGGATCGCGGCCTGGCGGGACGGAGTCAGCAGTGAGTTTGCGACGCTATCGCTCACCCGTCATTCCGTGACGCATCTTGAGGTGCTTCGTGCATTTCTTGACATCAATACCGATGTCACCAATGTGGGAACCAACGTGCGAATCGCCGTTGGATAGCACTCGGGGCGGGATTCGAATGCCAAATTAACTGAAGATTCTTTCCGTCAAGGAGGGATCGCTTCGTACTGGCATCTACCAACAGGCTGCACTGTTCGGTGAGAATTTTGCCAGATGCGCGTTTCTCATCGTCCGTTTCCCGATATTTATGGTTCCCCGATGTCCTGACCAGCCTTAAATTTCTGTACCACTTGCTATGAAGGTGTGGGTTGGGGTATTTCGCTGTGCTGCTGGAGTGGAGAAGTTGATTGAGGCGTAGCCGAAATCGACTTCGGAACGGAAGCAGCACAGCGGGTCGCGAATTCGGACGGGGTGGCATACCCCAGCGAACTGTGCGGCCTCACGTCGTTGTAATCCTTTCTCCAGGCCGTGGTCAGCTTCCGTGCCGCGGCCAAACTCTCGAACATTTCCATCTCCAAGAACTCATCGCGAAGCCGACTGTGAAAGCTCTCCGCGTAACCATTCTCCCATGGACTGCCCGGCGCGACGTAGTGCGTTTCGACATCGACTTGCTTTAGCCATCGCCGGATTGCACCAGCTACAAACTCCGGGCCGTTGTCCGAGCGAATCGCACCGGGCACGCCCCGCATCGCGAACAGCTCGGCCAACGAGTCGATCACATCTTCGCTGGTGATGCTGCGGTCGACTTTCAAAGCCAAACACTCCCGCGTGTACTCGTCGACGATCGATAGCCACTTCAACGGGCTGCCGGCCTCCGTGCGATCGAACACAAAGTCCCAACACCACACGTGGTCTTTATGTTCGGCTCGCTGAATGTGACAGGCTTGGCTGCTGTCGCCCAAGTAGCGTTTCTTACGGCGTTTCTGTGGCACTTTCAGCCCTTCGCGACGCCATAGCCGCAGCACCCGCGTGTTGCTGGCCTCCCAGTCTTCGCGACGCAATAGCACGGCAATCCGACGATAACCGAAACGCGGTCGAGCGGCGGCCAGTTCACGCATCCGCTTCACCAAAGCCGCTTCGTCATCACGAGACTGCGGCTGGTAACGCTGAGAGCTGCGTGGCTGATCAGTCACCTGACACGCCCTTCGCTCGGAAACTGCGAACCCCTCGCGCAGCTCGCCGACCGCCGCTCGTTTCCGGGAAGGGCTCACCAGTTTCCCTCCGCGATATGCTTCAGCATCTTGATGTCGAGTTCTTTCTCGGCCACTAACTCCTTCAGCCGCCTGTTCTCGTCTTCCAGTTGCTTCAGCCGCTTCGCCTCCTCGGCCTTCATCCCACCGTACTGGTTTCGCCAACGCAGATACGTGGCTTCGCTCACTTCCAGGGCCTGCAATACAGCAGCCTGGTCCTTCCCAGCATTGAGCATCGCGTCCGCGTCTCGCAACTTACGAACAATCTGCTCCGGCGTATGCCGCTTACGTCGCTTCGTCGTCATCTCGGTCTCCTCGCTCACATGCGTAAAGACCTTCATAACACCTGGATCAGATTTTCAATAGCAGGTCAGTCCCGCTGGGCTTTTATCCCAGCCGCCTGACGCTAGTCTCGGCCGCAGCGCAAATGCCAGGATGTTTCTAACGATGCTCTCTGTGACGCAGCGGCCCAGCTTAAGAGGTCAATGACACCACTTCAGGTTGCCTAGGAGTGCCGCCTGTCTCGGTCGATGCAACCTCTGTAGGGAAGCACTAATGGTTGTCGGTGTGCACAACTAAGGAAGACGAGTGCAATTTGGGCACGAATTCGTCGGTGGCCTAGGTTAAGGCCGGAGATGAGATGGTCTCAACGAAGCGACCTTCATAATGCAATGCCATAATCTCTGAAATCTGCAATCGCCAGAAGATCGGCAGGTGAATGATCGCCCAGTTGACTCGAGTGCTCATCAGAACCAAAGCACGACAGGCTGGCTACCTATAACGACAACAATCTCCGACATTTAAGTGCAAACTCACCGACCACTTACTGACGAAGCTTGAAAACGCCTATCGCAACAAGGCTGATTAACAGCAAGTGGAACGTAGATGGTTCAGGCACGGCTACTAGTCCATTCACGGCAGCGACTCCTGTTGATCCTAAGTTGACAACGTCAGCGGTATTCGGATCGATTCGCCACAGATCAGAAATTGTGCCGGTAAGAGCATCGGTTGTGTACAGAAAACCGTCACTCGCATACGTCAACGTATCGGCATCTGTTAGGCTCATGGCCCCGATTGATGTTAAGAGGCCTGTGGTAGTGTTCATCGTAAAAAGGTGTTCCGACGTGGAATTGTTATCTAGCGAGCCAACCGCGTACAAAGTTCCATCAGGCGAAAATGCGATCGCTTCGACCCTTGGAGCACCCGTGATCGCCGCGACGAGCGTCGTTTGTCCCGTCAATGGGTTGATGGTTCTGAGTTCCATGCCCGGCAGTACACCGTAAAGAATGCCATCGGGTGATCGGTCGAAGCCGCGCCGGGTTACGAATGCATCCTGATCCAGCGTAAGGCTGCTCTGAACGGACCCGGATGAGGTGTCGTAGGTAATCAGCAGGTTGGCATCCCGGTCGAACGTATAAATAGTGCTTTGGTCCACTAACACGGCACCAGAGAGGTCTGTTCCCACACTAACCGATCCTATGAGGCTCGGATTTTGTAAATCGTTCGCGTCGATCCGGTAGACTTCTCTGTTGTCGTAAGACACTGCGAGGAACAAAGGACTCGCAAATCCTACTGATGTTGATAGTGCGGAGAGTGTGTAGGTGATAATCCAGCAGGCATGCGTTATTGAGGCGTTACGTCGCGTCATTAGTGAAAGCTCCCCTGGACCGGAATTTCCCATTCGGGTATTGCTTCGCCGGCTCGAGTGCACCGATTCTTGTAACTCTTCGAATCAAATACAAATTGTTCACCCAGAATATGTGAACACGGAGCGTGCAAGCCGACTAAAGGTTCGCCACGATAAGTTGAGAGACTGATCATAAACTCCACTCACGCCGGACCTCAGAAGTGTGGCGGGTCTGTGTCATTCATCATCCCGTGCTATCTCTTCGCTCTATTGCTACATCGAGCCCCGCCTAAAGCCTTCACTCTAGTGAATTCTAGAACGCCAAATTTACGTTCGGCCGACCTGATGCCCGTGTTTGATGGTTCACAGGAGCCAAATGTTTTAAGCGTCACCTCACCGGGGTCAGATTTCTCAGCGGGTTGTTGCTCTTCTCGATGTGTCGTCTCGCCGCCATGCGAGGCTAGTAAAGCCGACCATCACAAGCCCGATAGCTCCAAGCGTGGATGAGGCGGGCTCGGGAACCACGATCGTGACTCCCCGGGCGCCTTCTAGCAGTTCGCTTTGGTAGGTATTCGTCAATACACCAGAGGAATTGTATTCATACATCCTGTCCCCGGTTACCGAATAGTAACGATCGAGGAATGGCTCATATCGCAATCCCCCTGTGCCAGCGACACCGAGCACGGCGGCGTCAACAAATGTGCCGAGGTAGCTGCCATCAACGGAATCAAACTCTTCGATGCGGCTGTTCAGTGTGCTGGATACGAACAGATTTCCGTTGTGACCGACGGTGATGCCGATCGCCTCATCCAGTTGCGAGGCATTGGTAACGAGTTCGAAACCGGTTACCGGGTCCTGAGTCAAATCGAATTTGTGGATCGAACCTTGAAAGATCTCCACGGCATAGACGTCGGTCCCATTGATCGCCAGCCCCGCCAGGTTACAGCAACCCGATTCAGTGAACGTGTCGATCACACTTCCGTCAGTGATGTCGTAACGAAAGACAACACGCGAACGAGCTCCCGCCGCGAGCAAATTGCCAGAGGGATCAAATGCGAGTTGGGCAGGACCAAAATTGCCGATCGATGCGGTGAAGTGCTCGATCAGCGGAGTGCTGCCCGGTGTGATGCGTTTGATGTTTTGGTTGTCGCCCTGCGTGCTGACGTAAATTGTCCCAGCACCGTCGACGACGATTCCGCGTGGTCTTGCGTTAGGAACCAGCGTCGCCACGACTTCCGAGGCGCCTGTCATCAAATCGAACGTGACGATGTTGTCGCTGTCGCGACCCGTGACATAGGCAGTCAGGTTTCCGGCGCGCGCTGATTCGAGTCCGCCAGTAATGGCGATTGCAGCAATGAGCAAGAATTTAGTTTTCACAGCAGTAAAATCCTGTGCAAAGAAAATTGATCTTCTATCTCGTCGTAACATCGCAATGCTCCGAATAGGTCACTTGAGTCGGAGTACCCTTCCAACGGGCTGGTTCCCGCTCCCGCAGGTTTCGATATTCGCCGTGGCCGCGCCTTCCGCTTTGAAAACAAACTTGCATTCAACTAATTCCACTTACTTTTCTTGCAGTGTGAGGTCTGGGCTCTGAGTGGCGCGCAGGCCGGCTGCACTGAGATGCTGAGAAGGACCAGACTGCTCCCGATAGCTGGGTACCAACATCCACATGCTGGGCAAAAACACTGAGCAGACTGCTGCAGTGCTAAACAGGCGGGTAGCGGCCTGTAGTTTTAGGCGATGACGAAGCGATCGAAACGGACCATCTTCGAGCCAAGAATCACTAGCTGCCCCAGAAGGATAGGCTTGCTTGATTGAGTGTCAGTGCAGGATGCCGAGTCTACTCCCCCGATTAGTCGATTGCAAAGAGATTGTCGTTTCTGAGCAACGAATCGCGTCAATAGCGACTGAAAGCTTGGTTTTCCGAGTTTCGATTGCCATGCAGGAGAGATGGCTTAGCCACGCCGGGCTTCAGCGACGAAGGCAACTGTTCCGAGTCAGCGCTGGTCGCCAACCCTAACTGCCGAAGATCCTTCCGTAAAATTGGGTTTCATAGACAGATTGGTCGCCGTCGAACCAATCGTAAGACGGGGTCAGGAGGCCAAAACTGTGCTGCGGAGTTATCTGACAAAGCTGTCGTGATTCAGAAGAATGTGACAGCGCCCATACACGCTCTAGCCACCTTTGAGCCGTTGGTCATCGTTTCGATGAGCGTGCATTTCGCGCGGGACGACCGAAAGGGACTCGAAATCCAGCAAGTCTCGTAATTGCAACCACATTCATAGATGCACGCGCGCATGATTGCGAATAGGGCTGTTTTCAGGAAGCTCTTTTTTCGGAGTCCAGCAACCCACCCGTAATCGCACCACGCCGAGAGCGAAAGTTCCCGACGTTTCGCTTCAATACGCGGGTCTATATGGTGTGTTTGGGTCTGGTTTCGCGGCCGCAAGTTCTCTGCGAGCGGCCTAGGCGTTCTACTCCAGCCGCAGTCTGGCACGATTTTGGCCCAGGCACTCGCGCTCTGGGTTTAGCGGGGGCGTTATTGACACGAGGCTCGCTGGTTGTATCGGCTCACCAGGTTGGGGTTGCCGAGGGTCGAACGGTGTGATCTCCATGTTGCGCTCTATGATGAGCGTCGAAAGGCAGCGGCGCGTGAGCGATTTCGAATGTGACAAGTGAGTGTTAGAAGGGTTTGGGCAATTGTCCGTCCGAGCGATTACCGAGCTGTTTGAGTACTTCTGGATCGGTAGCGTTACTGAGGAAGCGTGTTGATCCGTCGGCAAAATTCACGTTCATTCCACCCGGATGATGGCTCCCGAAGCCGCCGACAAACAGCGGATCTAGCTCCGCCACATCGGATTCTTGGTCGGACTGGTGAACACCGCTCCCGGTTCGCCGATACGACTCGATTAGGCTAGTGTTCCGAAGCGTCGCCCTTGTCCCAGAGAGCCAGCCGAGCCCCTCAGGGTTGGTGAGCGCTTCTGCAAGAAGGATCGTATATGAGCTTCCATCGTAAATGTCTGAGTAACGCACTTTGCTGTTCAAGAACAACAGTCCGTTGTTGTCGATGTCGATGGGTGCCTCGGAGTCGTTATGGCAACCGACATAGCTGGTGCGAACCACTGTGTCCAAGGAATTAAAGAATTCCACGCCATCCGAAGGGCAGACAAGTGTTGCGATCAAGACGGCGCGCGCCTCCGCGTTTACCTCTGCGTAAGCACCCGCGGATTGGTCCAAGTGATTGTAGATAGCCATCCCCTCCATATACGGCAGGATCTGTGCAATCCAGCTCCATTGGATCCCCTTGGGCTCGCTAAGGATGGGCCCCGTGGGATTGATGGATCCGGAGGGCAAGGCTTCGTATTGGAACTCATAATTATGAATCGCCAACCCAAGTTGGGATAGATTGTTTAGGCAACTCGCCCGTCGTGCGGCCTCACGTGCTGCCTGTACGGCTGGCAACAAGAGGGCAATTAGGATGCCGATGATGGCGATTACAACGAGCAGTTCGACGAGTGTGAATCCCGCCTTTCTACATTGTGGATGACGAGAGACGAATCGATCGCAGGACGTTGCCATGGTTTTTTACTCCTGATCGGGAGATAGAGCTGCTTGATAGAAGAACGATTGCGAGCGCCGGACTGACTGATCGCTGTCCGCGGGATACTCAGCGACAACTGAAACATGCCACAACGGCATTTCAGGATCACGCTTAACTTCGATGGTCACTTGGGCAGGTCTTGGTAAAGAATCCGGTCCTGGGGCCCAGGTCTCTCCCTCGTAGTCCTCACCACTGGCAAGGCGCATAGCGGCCAGTTCGGAACCCGCCTGCAAGAGGAGCTCGGTCTGACGCAGGTCTCGCTCGGTGTGCAGCTGTCTGCGAGCGCGAATTGCAACCTCCAGCATGGTGCCGATCATCGCCATCACAACCACCAAGCAGACAAGTGCCGTAACCAGCACGGCACCACGACGGGCAGTGAGTGCTTTCCGCTGAACGACACGAAATCTTTTTGATTTTCGCAGATGGCTCATTTTGAGATCTCCGGTTTAGCGGCCGTAGCGGACGGCGGCCAATCACGTCCAAGACATGCTTCGATCTGTAAGAAAATTGGCGTGGCGAAAGCTGGAGCAGGTCCCGACTTGTTTCGGGCTGCTCGCTCAGGAGCTTGGCTTTCTAAAGAAATCATCACCCGATTTGGGTCAGTTCTCTCTACAACCATCCACTCACTTGCGGCAGAGAACTTAAACTCCTCTCGCGCCTTTACTTTGCCTCCGGAGAGCAAGAGTCGACTCACTTTGCCGTCTGCATGTTCATACAGGATTGTTTGGTCGTCGAAGAGCGTGAGGGTCAGTCTCGGATTTTCATCCGGTACCTCGATTGAGGCACTGGTCGCAGAATGGACATCGCGACGAAATTGAGCTCTAAGTCGGATTGCACTTCGTTCAGCCCTAAAGAAATCTTGTGATTTGGACTGTACGTGCATGATGCGATGGATAAGCACGGTGCTCATCGACAAAACGACTACTGCCGACGACATGACCACCATCAGCTCAACCAGCGTGACTCCTCGTCGTACGGTTTGACCGGGCCGTGACTTCATGGATCCCTCTCCGTTGAAGATGACAGGCCGCGGTCAGGGGCGGGCGGGATAACCCATCCCACTAAGCTCAGTGGCGGAGCTTGGGGTGGCCTACCCTGCCAGGTGATTTGTAGCTCGATGCGGTGGCCAATTTCATTTTCTTCTAGCTGTCCACTCAGAGCGGCGTCGGGCAGATGCTTTGCTGTCAATTCCGACGGTTCAAGGTGTTCAAGTTCTTGCTTGACTTCGTCCACCGGCAACGCGGTAAGGCGATCAAGCTCGTTGGATAGTTCGTCTAATGCCAGTCTGTAGCTACGTTGCTCGGAAAGGAGTCTTCCATGCCGAACGACAAGCGGAATCGCTGCAGACAGGACCGTGGATAAAAGCGTGAAGGAAACAATAACCTCGATCGTGCTGATTCCTTTTCTTGAATGATGACGCCGCGTGCTTCGCCGCTGAGTCCGGAGGACCGCATCCGAAGCATGAGCAATAAGAGAAGTTAGGAAATGCGGCATTTTGATCTCGCTGCAATGCATCATGCAAGTACGGTGACGTAATTGAGAAGTGTCAGAAAAACACCGAGTGCCTGAAAAAGAACGAATGATGCGAGGACAAGGATCGCAAGCGGTGTCAACAATGCTTGTAGTGATTCGAGACGGCGTGTGATGCGACGTTGTTTGGTAAGTGCCAGTTCCTGCAACACCCAAGACCGATTTCCAACGCGTTCCGCAATCTCTAGTGCCTGCCTCTCTGACGTTGTCAAAAGCCCTGCGGAGGCCATGCTTCGCCATAGATCGGCACCTAGCTCGACTTCATTGCGAACAAACAGCAGCCTGTGTCGCAACGAGCGATCGAAATGGTAGCGGGCCAGTGTCGATATCGACCCCGGCAGCGGACGGCCGGTACCGCTGGCCAATGCGAGTTTGTTTTGCAATTCAGACTTGCACCATTCTCGCCAGGGGCTCAAGAGGCTCCGTGAAAGTGCGCGACGTACATTGCGACCGGGATTCGCTGAAAATACGAATAATGAAATTGCAGCAAGAGGGACGACCAAAAGCACCCCATACCCAGCCACAAATTCAGACATCTGCACGGACATATACAGAACTCTGGATTCCGAGGTGGAGAAATCGTCTGCTATTTTCAGAAGTGCCGGAACAATCTTGATTTGAATAAAAGTGACCACCAACATGCTTATGAGGAGTACTACGCTTAGATAAACAACGGTCCTCCGTAATTCCGCAGCAACGCGCGATGTGACAAGTGCGGGGCCGTCGAGCGTTTCTCGAATAGCAGTGGCAAGCATTCCAGATTCAGCGCCGAAGCGTACTGTGAGAGCTTCTTCATCGGAAAGAACTCCAGGGACGCTCTCAACGGCGTTCGGCAACGATACCCCTTGGCGAAGAGCATCGATCAATCGCCCGAGGCGTTTTCTTTGAATGCCCCGTTCACCTTTCTCCCACGCCTCGAGTAATGGAACCAGTGGTAGTCTTTCTTCGGTGGCCGTAAGAACTAATCGCAACAATGCCTTCCTTTGCGCCGCAGTCGAATATCGAGGCCATATAGATGCGAATGGCCGGGAGGGGTTGCCGGAGGCGAGCCTTCGAAATGTGGGAAATGAGAGTTCCATTTATTCAAGCATCCCGGGCACGCTACGATAGGACCGCGATAAAGCCGATCATCGGAAGCAACAGGGCAAGGGCAATCCATCCGACAAAAATGCCGACGACACAAGTAACGATTGGACCGACGGCACCCGCAGCCCAATTCTGACGACTCAGTGCTGCCTCGATATAACAGCGGCCGAGTTGCTGTAGCAGGTGAACTCTCGACGACAGACTTATCTCTGCCAGCATGGCGTACTCGAGGGAAGCTAAGGCACCTTGGCTCGGTGCCTTTTGCTGAGCAGTCACCTTTGCTTCGAGTGCGTTCGCAATCCTGGAGCATGATTTTGATAGGCTTGGGCGATGTGTCACAGTTTTCGCGACTTGCAACGCGTCTGCGCGGGAAAAGCCCGCATCGAGAAGAGTCGCAGTATTTTGCAACATTCTTCCCAGCGCCATCGATCGAGCAGCACTAAACGGGAAGAGT